CCCCCCCCGGATAAGCGCCTCTTAAGTGCATACCCTAGGCTGGACACTGCACCTACAGAAATAATCTAGAATGTTCCCATCCTGGAGAAGCTCAGATTAGCTGGGCAGACAGACTCACAGAAAACAGGATGAATGCTGAGCTGGGGGACACAGAGGGGCTGTGAGCACGTGCAGGAAGCCTCTGGCCTCAGGGGAGGTGGGATTAGCAAAGACTTTCATGGGAAGCAGACACATCTGCTTAGTACTGTAGAGGAGTGAAGTGAGGGGGGGTCACAGAGGTCCAATCCCCAGCATCCTCAGGGAATCGGTCCCGACACCTTTGTGAGCCCATCTCCCCCCTCAGGCCACCTCACTTGTTTCTCTCGCTCCTCAAAACTAACTTCCTATTCCTGCAACACGATGGAGGGAGGTGAGCCCTGCCTGGAAAAGGCAGGGTGGAGTTGTCAGCCCCCCCTGGTAGCTGAGGCTGTGTGCACACCTGGGCACACACAGCTCACACGCATGGCACACCAGTGCATGCTCTCACACGCCACCAGCCGTCCCTACAGCCTGTCTTGGTTCTCACCACTCTTCTTGCCTGCACTGGTGACAGACTCATTGAAGAGTAGAGGGGGCCCTGGACATTGACAGAGCTCTCTGGAAGGTTCGAGTATCTGGGACAGGAGGAGGCAGGGGCAAGGAGTTCTCATGCCTCTAGCACGAACCCCCAGGAGTGTGAGGGGCGAGGGGCTGGAAGCTCACAGGGACAGTGACTGGTCCCTGCCAGCCATCACCTCAACAGACGGAAGGGCACTCTGTTCAGTTGGTACTCACCCTCCCCCACCCCCATCACAGCCCTGGAGATGAGTCTGTAAGAGGGACAAGAAGCAGGACAGAGGGCCTCTCTGGTCCATCCAGGAGTGTGGCTAGGGGCGGCCCGGTGCCCGTCCAGTCCTGCAGAGAGGACATCTCCCTGCTCCGTGTGAAACTGTGTCTCACTCTAAGTGTGAGGAAACCCGAGGCCTCCGAGCAGGAGGAGGGTGTCCTCCAGACGAGCAGGGTGTAGAGATGAGCCCTGCCTCCCACGAGCCTCAGTGGGGCAGGGCTTCTGCCTGCTCCTGGACGCACAACCTGCTCTGCTTGGTCCTGTTTGTGACACGAGCCCGTGTGTCTGTGTGTCTGGGCATCTGTTACGCAGGTCCCATTGCTTTGCACCCTTCCCTACCAGGCCAGTCCTGAGAAGTGCCTCACTCCTCTCTCTGTGGCCTGAGCAGAGTGTGTGGCTGGGAAACCAAGAGCAGAAGGAGTAACAGCATCCTTGTCCCTGACGGGCCCGTCTGGTCCCCCTGCCAACCTTGTTGACTGATGACTCCTCCAGTCATGAGCTGGGAGCCCTGGGCTAAGTGGGGCCGAGGCACCTCGCTGCTCCCAGTAAGGGAGCAGACCCAGTGTTCCATGCTCTGGCCAGGCACTCCCCACCAGCCCTGCCAGCGTCCCCAGGACCGCCTGAGTGTGTGTGCATGTGTGTGCGCATGTGTGTGCAGCAGCACGGAGTGGCTTCAGCATGAGAATCTTTGTGCCCTCGTGCTGCTCAGCTGTTTTCTGAATGTCTCAGTACCTTTCCTTCCTTCTCACTTTCTATCGCCCAGCACCACTAGAACAGTCAGTGAGTGGGAGCAGGTGAGTCCCCACATTTTATAGGTGAGGAATCTGAAGACTTGCCAGAGGGAGTGATTTTGTTAAAGTCACACAGGGCGCAAGGCTGGAGCACAGCTCTTCACCTCCGTCCTGCCTCTGCCCAGGCCCCGGAGCCCCTCCCTCTGCCCCTTTCCCGTCCAGTGAAGGATCCCATCAAATAATAAAAGATAACACTAATGAGTGCTTATTAGGTGCCCAGCAACAATCATGCACTAATTACTGGAGCCAGACAGCCAGGGTTCAAAAGTTCTGTTGTTCACTAGTTCTGGAACTTGGGCAAGTCATTTATCTGTGCCTTGGTTTCCTCCTCAGTAAAATGGGGATAATAATAGGACCTACCACATAGGGCTGTGGTGAGGGTTGAGTTAGTTTGTGTGTGTATATATATGTAGATGTTGAGAGAAAGAGAGAGAGAGAGAGAGAGCAGAAGAGGGGCAAAGAGAGGGAGAGAGAATCCCAAGAAGGCTTCACATGGTCAGCCAGAGCCCAGAGCAGGGCTTGAGCTCATGAACCGTGAGATCATGACCTGAGCCCAAACCAAGAGTCAGATACTTAACCGACTGAGCCACCCAGGTGCCCCAAGTTAACATATTTAGACCAGTGCCTGGCACTTGGCAATGCTGTGTATGTACTAACTGCTATGATGTCGTCCTTATTGTGTCTATTGCATCAGAGTTATATTATTGTGTCTATTGCTGTCTCCTGGGGAAAAATGATCTCAACTCCGAGGCTGGCCCAGCCTGTGCTCAGCCCCTCAGCTCCTCCCTCTGCCTGGCCTAGTGCTGGAGGCACTGGGTGGCAGAGGGCCTCCCTCAGTCCCTCTCATGGGGACCTCCCCTCCTCCCCTCAGCATCCTTGCCTCTGGAGGCCCCTAGATGGGTGGTCCCAGTGCAGGGCCTTGTCCTCCCTGCATGGATGCTGTTTCCCATGGCTTCCCTTCTTTCCCACTTGGCCACTCACTCACTGGGTGACCTGGAGCCAGCAGCTTCATTTTTCCTAACATTATTTCATTCCTCTGTAAATTGAAAAGATTAAACCTATCCTTTGAAATGTTTATGAAGATTAAGTGCATTAGTGCCTATGAAATGCCTCACACTGTGCCCACATACAGTAGGTACCCAATAAACGTCAGCTCCCTCCCTTCTCCCCTTTGCTCCCTCCCTTCCTCTCCTCCCTCTGATTTCCTGACCCAGGCCCTGCTCTATTCACAGCTCCTGAAGCTCACGGTCCTGGCTGTAGATTGATTTGGATTAAAATTGACCCCGACCTTTGACCCCACTTGTGCCTTGCAGATTGGAGCCTCTCTGATGTCCAGCAATGTGGGCAGTGGCTTGTTCATCGGCCTGGCTGGGACAGGAGCTGCCGGAGGCCTTGCTGTTGGGGGCTTCGAATGGAATGTAAGGAAGCTGGTCTGGAGGCTTCTCAGAGATAACGAGGGTCTGAACGCCCCACACGCCACACCCCACACCCCACCCCACCCCTGGCTTTAGTGCTGAGAGGAACCTCGGAGGTGCTTGGAGAGGCTGTATGGTAAATCGAGAACCCATTTCACAGATGAGGAAACCAGGACCTGGAAAAGGCAGAGGGACTCATCAGAGGTCACACAGCACTACAATCAGGTCCCAGGTCCCTTGCCTCCCAGCTCGGTGCTCCCTCACAGCGTGACGTGCACAGGAGGCTGTCCTTCCATGTGCATCTAGGACACGGGTAGATGTCTCTTGTTCTTGTTCTCCCCACTCTCCCAGGCAACCTGGCTCCTTCTGGCCCTGGGCTGGATCTTTGTCCCCGTGTACATTGCTGCTGGTGTGGTCACAATGCCACAGTACCTGAAGAAGCGATTCGGGGGCCAGAGGATCCAGGTGTACATGTCTGTCCTGTCTCTCATCCTCTACATCTTCACCAAGATTTCAGTGAGTACCCATCGCAATGTGGCCATCTTGTCTCCCTGAAAATGCTGAGCTTGAGTCATGGCTTGTTGCTGCATGTAGGGATGGATGGATGGATGGATGGATGATAGATAGATAGATAGAAAGAAGGGAGGAAGGGAGGAAGCATGAATCCACATACCTTCAATGCACGCTCTCCCTCAGCAGTGGAGCGATCACAGATGAATGAGAAGTACCTATTAAGTAAATGACAGTGCCTCTATTTAAATAACTCCTAATCTAGAGTGCATTCATTCATTTCTCTCTCCATTAATTGATCCTCCATTAAGCACCATGAATTTGTTGCCTACATGTCACTGTTCAAAAGATCCTTATTCCTCCTCCTCTGACCTACACTCCGAAAACAAACCTAGGGCAGATGGTTCGCCCATGTCCACACAGAATAGAGCTGTGGGACTGAACTAAAGTTTGGGTCCTGTGACCCGGTCCAGGCGTCCTGGCACTCCGTCCTGTTGTAGCCCTGGGATGGGTTCATGAAACAGCCATGCAATGGGATCAGCAAGCAGGCACTGAAGGGGACTGAGTCCACGAGTTGCCAGGTCGAGAGATGGGAAAAATGGTACAGCCACTTGTCCACCAATGCTGGAAAACAAGCCTAAGTCAGCATGTTGTCTGGTCAGCCGGGTCCTCTAATAAACCCAAACATGTAGAGCCTCCAGAAGTACGGTCATCTGTCCTGGGGCTCCTGCCCGTCTGGTCAGCGTGGGCCCCCTGGCAGCTGGGCGGGCCTCTGCTCTGCTAGGGAAAAGAGGGCCTCTGGGTGCCTGCTCTCTCTTCTCCAACCCCTGCTCCCCACTTCCTCTCCTCTGTCTACTCTTCATTCCTTCCCCCCTGCCATCACGACCCACAGACTATCCCATTAGTGCCACCAGACCTCATTGCTCTCGGTTTCAAAGTTTTATGCGGTGCTCCTCTGCCTGAAAATCTCCACGGCTCCTCAGCATCCCCGAGGCCAAACCCGTTCTCCTCAGCATGGCACTTTAGGCTCAGCCTCATTATGTGATGAGGGCTGACAGCACTTGGTATGGCTGAGCAGGAGGCATCATACCCTGGTGGCCACAGTGAGGGCCTCAGGTGACCTGGACTCCTGGGTCCCGGCTCTCTGCAGACTGACATCTTCTCTGGAGCCCTGTTCATCCAGATAGCCTTGGGCTGGAACCTATACCTCTCCACAGTGATGCTTCTGGTGGTGACAGCTGTCTACACCATTGCAGGTAAGGCCAAGGGCGGGTCGTGTTGGGGTGCAGGTGCCTGGAGCAGAGACAGAGAGACAGGGAGAGGTGGAGGGGGGTCACCTAGGGATGCTACAGTGAGCAGGAGCATGACTAGGGGACTGTCACCAGGAGTAGTGTGGCTGTGGACTGTTCCAGACAAAGCCACCAGCCTGCCTTCCTCTGTCTCCTCCAGAGCACCTCCCATAGGCCTGGGCACCTGGGTTCCTGGCTTGTGGCTAAGTCAGTTTGCAAATATAGGGAATTTAAACGGTGTTTGGTGGGGAGGGAGGGAGTATTCCTGGTAGAACTATCAGCCCAGCAGAGGAATAGTCTTGGGGTATTAAAAACAATAAGAACAAAGGAGGGAGGTGCAGCTGCGGTACCCAAGGGCCACTGGGGAGAGAAAGAGCTAGATTTGAGTGCCAGTGGCTGGCACCAGCCTGTGGGGGGAAGGCAGGTGGCTAGAATCGACCTGCTAAGAGGACTCCATGTCTTGTCTGGTCTCCCCAGTGTGGCCAAGCACAGGGCGGGCAGCCAGAGAGGAACCCCTTGTTGGTGCTGACTGATGAGCCCTCTCCTTGGGTCCCCAGGGGGTCTCACAGCCGTGATCTACACAGATGCTCTGCAGACGGTGATCATGGTGGGGGGCGCCCTGGTCCTCATGTTTCTAGGTAAGGTAGAGACCTGAATATACCCACGATCACATCAAAATTGCTCTCCGATTTGTCTTGGGCTTTCACCTCCATGCTGTGACTGGAACTTTCCAGAACACAGGGTCATGTTCCCCACCTCCCTACCCCCATTTCCAGGGTGGGACTGCCAAAGAGCAAACTTCTCAATACACCCCACATCCCTCCCTCATTCCCAAGTTGCATACCAGTTCCAAGCCCCGGGGCTCCACATGGGACTGGGAGGTGGGGTGGGGGCATGTGACAGGTCCACTGGGGTCTCGGAGCTGTGTTGCTCACTGTGGTCTCTCTCCACAGGCTTTCAGGAGGTGGGCTGGTACCCAGGCCTGGAGCAACGGTACAGACAGGCCATCCCTAATGCCACAGTCCCCAATACCACCTGCCATCTCCCCCGATCTGATGCCTTCCACATGCTCCGGGACCCTGTGAACGGGGACATTCCTTGGCCAGGCCTCATTTTTGGGCTCACGGTGCTGGCCACCTGGTGCTGGTGCACGGACCAGGTGATGCCCCAGACAAGCTTGGCCCGGACCATCACACACTGGGGTGGCTCCCTGTGGGAAAACCACGCGTCTAGGTGCACAGAGTGTTGGGACTCATTCTGGGACTACCTCAGGGCTCGCCTATGGCTGAGCTGAGCCCCACCTGACCTAAGTGGCACGCCTCCACTGCTCCCTTTTCAGGTCATTGTGCAGAGGTCTCTGTCTGCCAAGAATCTGTCCCACGCTAAGGGAGGCTCGGTGCTGGGGGGCTACCTGAAGATCCTGCCCATGTTCTTCATCGTCATGCCTGGCATGATCAGCCGGGCCCTGTACCCAGGTAAGAGCTGGGCAATGTTGCAGTGGGGGGAGGGGTCACATGCCAGTTCTATTAAGAACACATCGGGGGGCGCCTGGGTGGCGCAGTCGGTTAAGCGTCCGACTTCAGCCAGGTCACGATCTCGCGGTCCGTGAGTTCGAGCCCCGCGTCAGGCTCTGGGCTGATGGCTCAGAACCTGGAGCCTGTTTCCGATTCTGTGTCTCCCTCTCTCTGCCCCTCCCCCGTTCATGCTCTGTCTCTCTCTGTCCCAAAAATAAATAAACGTTGAAAAAAAATTTAAAAAAACAAAACAAAACAAAACACATCGGAAGTGCGTTAGGCTTTGTGGGCCACACATACAATAAGTATTTCAGTAGAAGAAATTTGTATCTGAATATCATTTTAAAATCCTACTTTCCCTTCATAAGGGAAAGAACAATGAAGGCATTCTTGGTGCCTTCCGAGGATGTTTGCCCTTTATCAAGATGTAAGGCCTACAACGCAAAGGCGTCTACCAGGCTTTGCAGGGTAGTATATGGTCAAGGAATTTACCAGCGACAGCTAAATCATAGTACCCAGACATCTACCTGCCCCTTGACCCTCTGGCCTCTACAACAGATGCTGATTCCTGCCAGCGTCACCAGTAAACACGTCCCTGTAGGGTTGGAAAGCAAATATTGGGCCGAACCAAGAAGGCACACACAGGTTGACTCGCCCCTAATGGCCATCACTCTTCTATAGATGAGGTGGGCTGTGTAGACCCTGACGTCTGCCAAAGCATCTGCGGGGCCCGCGTGGGGTGTTCCAACATCGCCTACCCCAAGCTGGTCGTAGCCCTCATGCCTGTTGGTGAGTCCTGTCTCCCCCACACCACCCTTCACTCCATGCCCCAGCCTCCTCCAATCCCCAGTGCCCAGGAGGGATTGCACTAAACGTGGACATGGATGCAAAGAGGGAATAAAAAAAACTTTCACCTCCACACTTCCTTCCCCAATACACACACACACACACACACAGAGACACTTTTCACAAACATCTGTAAGGCACCCATTCTGGCTCTAATCCTGGAGAGGCAGGGATAAAAGGCAGGCCCCTACTCTGAGGCTTCATGCCATCTCCAGGACACCCGGGCTGACAGAGGGCACAATACTATGTCACCAGGGTGGGGACACAGCGGCACCGAGGAAGCCCTAAGGAGGCACCTGGCTCCACCTGGGAATGTCAGAGAAGGTTTTCTGGAGGAGAGGAAATGGAGCTGAATCCTGAGGAACATCTTAGGCAGACAAAGCCAGACGGGTGTGGGAAATGTCATTCGGGGGAGGAGGGGCTGTGTGTGCAAAGGCCCTGGGCTGAGAGAGAGCATGAAGTCTGAACTGAAGTCTGAACCGAAGTAGAGTCACCTGTGTGACGCATATGTGGGAGGAATGGATAGCCTTGGAGAGGAGGCCGTGGCCATGCCTCACCGTGGAGCAGAGCCTTTACGCTGGGTTTTAGGCCAGAGCACGTGAGGGGGACCATCTGCACGGAGGGTTCAGCTTAAGGGGAGGCAGAGAGACAGTTAACAAGGGGTTTGCCGTGGCCCAGGTGCGGGGTGATAGTGGTGTGGACCAGGTCAGTGGTTTCAGAGATGGACAGAAAGGGTTTTAAAAGATATTTGTGAGGTAGAGGCGGCAGGATTTGATGACTGATCATGTTTGAGGGATGAGAAAGAGGGATCCAGGGAGGCCTCCAGGTCCGGGGTTTACGATGACATTGAGAGTGGAGACATAGGAAAAGAGCCAGGTTTATAGAGGGAAGTCCTTGAGTTGGGCTCCCCCTTCCCTTCAGTAGAACAAGAAATGAATTGGGGCACCCGGGCGGCTCAGTCAGTTAAGTGTCCCACTCTTGGTTTTGGCTTAGGTCATGATCCCCTGGTTGTGAGATCAAAACCCGCATTGGGCTCTTTGCTGAGCATGGAGCCTGTTTGGGATTCTCTTTGTCTCTCTTCTTCTGCACCTCCGGTTCATAAAAAACAAAAAGAAAAAGAAAAAGAAAAAAGGGAATGAATGAAAGAAATAGTGGGGCTGGTGGGATGGGGCCTCCACAGAGGGGCTGATTGAGGGACGTAGGGTGGGAGGGGAGCAGAAGAGGGGGGTCTAGGATAACTGAGCGTCTGGTATGGAGATTGGATATTATTAACCAAAGAAAGAAACAACAGGCCCTGGAAGAAGGTGCTGGAAGGTGCTGGCCTAGGTTTGTTTGGAACATTTTGAGTCTTTCAGGGAGACCTCCAGGAGGTGGTTAAGTATTTGGACTGAGAGGAAAGAGGGCTGAGGCAGGGCTGAGGGACAGTCATCTCCCCAGGGAAACATGAGTAGTCATGTTTCCAGAATCTTGGTAATTTGAGTCATAGAGACCTCAGATAGCAACGGGATCCACCCTCTCCTGCCACAGGGGGCAGAACAGGCCCAGAAAGGAAGGAACTAGTTCAAAGATCACACACCTGGTTACTTGCAGAACCAGGAAACAAATCCAGGGCTTCCCAGGGCCACCCGTCCCAGGCGAGGGCCTTAACCTGGCACCTCAGTGTCGGTGAAAAAGAACAAAAACTGAAAACACTCAATTATTAACCGTCACCCTCCTCCCCATCAGGGGCCCACTAACCAAGTGTCTCCAGGCTCTGACGCCCAGACTGAGACGTCAAAGCTGCAGAGAACCTGAAGGACCACTTAGCCGCACGGCTCTTAGGGATGCAGATAAGGGAGCTGGCACTGGGCAGGGTGGATGGGATGGCTCGCCCAAGGCCATAGAGCAGGGCAGAGGGCAGAGCGGGGCGAAGGCAGAGCTTATCCAGAAGCCGGCCTCCGGTTTTCCTGGACTCCTTATCTGCATGGAGGGGGACCTCATGCAGGGCCAGCACCACCCCCAGACTCCCAGCTCCGCCTGACGCTGCAGCCTCCATGGCTCCCGGCGGAGCTGGCCTTCACGGGAGACCTCGCCTCTCCCCAGGTCTGCGGGGCCTGATGATCGCCGTGATCCTGGCCGCCCTCATGAGCTCACTCACCTCCATCTTCAACAGCAGCAGCACCTTGTTTGCCATCGACGTGTGGCAGCGCTTCCGGAAGAAGGCCACAGAGCAGGAGCTGATGGTGGTGGGCAGGTGCGCTGCGCCCCCTTCCGGAGTTCCCCCCTCCCTGCAGGCACCGCCCCCCCC